ACCCCCCTTATCTCTCTCTCTCTCTCTGTCTCTCTCTCTCTCTCTCTCTCTCTCTCACACACACACACACACACACACACACACACACACACACCCATGGGGGTGTGCTGAAGTCATCTCATACTGGTGAGCCTACTGTTAAATTTTTAATGTGAGCATTTATACGTTGAAGTCAGCAAATGCTACAGACCAGAGCTTGATTTATTGTCTTGTTGATTGTCTAAACTTTTTAAAATTAATTTATTTTATTTATCAGCAATGACTTCCATATACTTTTGATTGTCTAAACTTAAGAAAGTGATGGAGAAAATGTTAATAATTAAAGATTAAACTTAAAAGTCTCATGTGGATAATTTTTCTCTCCAAAGAGCTGATAGCTCAACATTTACCAGCAGATCCCTGCATGTGTGTGTATGCATGCACATGTTGTTCAGTCTTTTTCAGTTGTGTCTGGCTCTTCATGACCCCATTTAGGGTTTTCGTGGCAGAGACATTGGAGAGGTTTGCCACTTCCTTCTTCAGCGCATTTTACAGATGAGGAAACTGTGACAAACAGGGTTAAGTGACTTGCCTAGGGTCATATTGCTAGTTAAGTGTCTGAGGCCAAATTTGAACTTAGGAAAATGAGTCTTTCTAGCTTCAGGTCAAGCACTTTATCCACTGTACCACCTTGCTGCCACCTGTACATATATACATACATACCTATATGTGTATATATGTGCATATGTGTATATATACACCAGGGGTGGGGAACTTGCAACCTTAAGGCCACTTGTGCCCTTCTAAATCCTGAAGTGTGGCCTTTTGACTAAATCTAACCGATTGAGAAGTCCACATGTGGCCTTAAGGCCGCAGGTTCCCCACAGGTCTGAGTTGACTCAGCTCTGTGGCATTGGACAATTCTGCCCAATTCAACAAACATTTATTCCTGTTGCGCATCAAGCACTGTGTTAGGTGCTGGGGATACAAAGACAGATGTGAAACAGTTTCTGCCTTTTAGGAGCTTACAGTAGGTTTGGTTTGGGGAAATAACAGAAACACCAATAAATAAATACAATCTATGTACAAAGTAATTTCCCAGATCGAGGGTGGAGAGAGCACTAACAGCAGGGCTAAGCTGCTTCCCTTCTCTAGGTTTCATCTATAAATGGAGAAAGCTCATCTCTAAGGATCTCTAGGGAGACGGGCAAGTGCTGTGGTTACAAGAAGGGAGAGGGGGAAGGTGGACTCTGGAAAGTAGAGATTAAAGTGGGGCATTGGTGGAAAACTCCTCAGAATGTGAGGGTGAGCAAGAGAATGCAGCCAGAAGAAGGCTGGATAGTAGTATACTTCTGAGAGTTTGGAACTGACTTGATCCCCAGAACCAAATTCCTCTAGTTAGGAAGACCTGAGTTCACATCGAAGACTTATTAGCTATGTGAACCTCAAATAAGTTCCATCAAATCAGAGGATCTCTCAACCATTTCTGGTGTTCTGGACCCCTTTGGCAGTCAATATGTAGGATTACAAAGGAAACCAATTATATATAGAGGCAGTTGGTGGTGCAGTGGGTAGAGCGCTGGGCCTGGAGTCAGGATGACCTGAATACAACTGGGTGACCCTGGGCAAGTCAGTTAATCTCTGTATGCCTCAGTTTCCTCACCTGTAAAATGGGCATAATAATAGCACCAACCTCCTTGGGTTGTCGTGAAGCTCAAATGAGATAATATTTGTAAAGCACTTTGCAAACCTTAAAGCAGTATTAAATATTATAATAATTATTATTATTATTAGTAGACCATTAATGTGGGTGAATGTCAATCTGCAGGGAGATTTTAAGGACCGTGTCTTAGCACTTTCCTAGCTCCAGCTGGCACATGATTGTTGCTGTTGTTATCTGTCCTTCGTTCTAGGACAGATGACATCAGGAAGGTGATGTCTTGACTTGCAAGTGAATTGGATTTAAGTGAGGCAGAGCTATACAAAGTCACCAGTCTCATCCAGCACATGATATGCACTTAACAAAGACTCACTGACTTGACTGTCACTAAGAAATTTTTCTTCTACCTATGTTATAAGGCAACTTTTTGCTTTAACGTTCTCAGAATATAGAATGTTAGAATGAGAGGTGATTCTCTCTTATGAGAGAAATGACTATTAATAACCAATATCTTTGGGAGATTCAGAGTCCCCTCCCCCCCTTCCAAAGTCAGGGTTCAGGGTTCAGGGTTTTTTTTTTTAAGGACATTATTGATACTGATAATGATACTGATAATAAACTCTCCTATCTTGGTCAGTCCCCACCCAACGTTGCCAGAAATTTAATCTAAGGTGGGGAAGTCCATTGTGTTCTACTCAAGCTTGAGTGGAGACAGATCCTAGCAGCCCCTCATTGCTTAGAAGGGGATATTAACCGTGAACTCACCGCCATGATTGTCTCTGGTCTAAGAGAGACAGCCAAATGACCATCCTTTTATTAATAACTTGCTGGCCTTATTAATAAAATGGTTAAATTATCCAGAAACCATCTCTCAAACCTTTTTAATCATCACACTTAGTTGAAACACCATATATTACCCACAAGATTTTTTGCCAGTTGGGATAATGAGTAGATATTGTGTATGTCCATGGCACGTAGATATCAGACTATGAGCTCCTTGTGGTCAGGAAATCTTTTGTTTTATTGATGTTTGTCTCCCACTGAGCCCTGAGCACAGACTTAGGTGCCTCGACTATACCATCTCCCCTGGGCAGAATGAATTCTGAAAGGAGAATTGGTTGAGCTCAAAACCAAAAAGAAGAAATTTCCATGATAACTTTATTATGTATTTAAAAGGAATAGCAAGTTGTACATAAGAGATTTGCAGTTTCATGTGCAACCATCTTTTTTATTATACTATGTTATAGAAATGCTTTTTATTCCATAAATTAAAAATAAAATAAATTTTCAAAAATTAATTAAAGACCAAAAAGAAAAAAAACCATGGGAAAAATCAGTTCATTCCTGTTGTCCATAGTAGTGCTTAGTAGGAAGTCTCTATCCTTCTGAGATTGTTTAGGAAGGAAGTGTGGTACAATGGAGAGAACCTCACTAACTGTGAAATAACTGCCTTGAGATACCCCCTCCAACAGGTACTCCCTATGTGACTTAGGGTAAATCACTCAAGCTCCCTGGCCTCAGTTTCCTCATCTGAAAAATGAGTAAATGAAGATATTGGATTTTCATGGCTTCTAAGGTTCTGTCTAGGCCTAGATCCCGGATTCCGCTTGTTGAAGAAACGTTGGTAATGCCACTTAGAATGGACTTTTTTCCAGTTGTTATTCAAACCATGCCTGACCTCCGAAGCTTAGGTCAAGGTCCTCTTCCTCCTCCATAGAGGCTTTCATGTGCCCTTGAACCCAGAGGGATCTCTCCTTCCTCTGAGCTCATGGTATAATAGGGTCTGTCCTGTTGATTCACTTACTGAGAACCTCTTATGAATAGGTGTCCTTCTGCTGTGCAGGGGAGAGGAAGGGGAGGAGAAGTTAAATAAAATGGACTTCTTGCATTTTGGAAGTTCTCGGTCTAGCAGGGAGAAACAAAGTGTATTCAAATAATTGGAATACCAGGGAGGATTTGGTAAGAGAGGGACTGACACGACATTGTTCTTTTTTTTTCTTTTTCTTTTTTTTTTTAATTTTTAGGCAATTGGGGTTAAGTGACTTGCCCAGGGTCACACAGCTAGTAAGAGTTAAATGTTTGGTCTGAGGCCGAATTTGAACTCAGGTCCTCCTGACTTCAGGGCCGGTGCTCTATCCACTGCTCAGGTGCATCTAGCTGCCCCCTGACATAATGTTGTGTCAGGACATCTGAGGAGGAAAGCATATTTAATATCTTTTCTAGCTGTAAAGTTCAATGATCCTTTGACCTGGGTTCTAGTCCCTCTTCTGTTAACTATTACCTGTGTGATCATGGGCAAGCCACATGAGTTTTCTGAGCCTCAGTTTTCTCATCTGTATAATAGTGAACAGACTGATAAAAGACAAAGAGTTTTGAGTTTAGAGTCGGAGAACCTGGAGTCACATGCTGGCTCTGCTCCTCAGAAGTTGCATAACCTCAGGCCAGTCCCTTTACGTCTGCTGATGTCCTGCAGTTCCTTGCCTGTCTATGGAAGGAGCTGAACCAGATAGCCTCTCTGTATCCCTCTTCAGTTTTCCTATCCATAAAAGGAGGGAATTGGAACACATGACTTCTAAGGTCTCTTCCAGCTCTAAGTTTTATGATCCTGTGAAGCCATCTCTCAGCTAAAGGACGGAGGTGTTAGGATCACTATGAGTAGAGGAAGCATCTATACTGATTAACTCATGGGTATCAGTATCATCATGGGCATAAAGTACTATTATTGTCATTTTTAATCACCACAATAACAGCTGTGTAAGGAAAGATAAAATTAAATGGTACAGTATAGTCAATACTGTGAGAGGGAGAGAGATCCTGGTGGGAGCCAAGACTGGATGTGGGAGTGATCTGGATGCATCAATATAGTGTTGCAGGGATAGTCGGGCTTGATAGGAGTGGTGAGGAATATATAATGGGGATTCATGGAAGAAAAGATGGGAGAGGTGGAATCATAGAATGTTAGAGCTTCAGGGGATCTTAGAGGTCATAGAGTCCAGCTGCCTCATTTTACAGAGAAGGAAATTGAGGAACAGAGAAGCAAAAGAACTTGCCCATGGTAACACAGGTAGATAGATGGTACTCAAACACATCTTTTGATTCCAGATCCTGGGCTCTGTCTACTATGTTACCATTATGATTTGAAAACTGGGCTCAGAATCATGGGGTAAATTTGTAACTCTGGGAGTTACCCATAATTAAAGGCTAGTCTACAGAGTGGGAACTTGTGTTAGACTAGAGAGGAAATATTGTAGCAGGATGGTACAATGAGAGATCCTTTTTAATAGTACTTTCTAGAAATGTACCTATTTTTTGTTTAACCTTATCTCAAAGTCTTTTTTTCCCTCTCTTGTCTTCCCTCAAGGCTGACCTAAACAATGTTTTCTTCGGTGAAACCTTATGAGAACCAAAAGTACTGGGCCCTGAAGAAGGATTGTCTGAAGAGGAAGGTGCTCTTTGAAGACCCTACATTCCCGGCCAATGATGAATCCCTATATTACTCAGGTACCCAGCGGCAGGATGTCCAGTGGAGACGGCCCAAGGTTGGTGGAATCAGGGTTGGGTGGAGTGGGAAGCCAGTAGGAGTACTACTATACAATGGGTGGTATCTCCTGCTGAACTCCATCCCTGCTCTGCCTTGTTAAGGTCAGGATTCTGCTTCTTCAATAATTTGAGGTCAGCGATTAATAGTAAGAACATTGGATTTGGAGTCAAAAATCCTGGCTCTTATAGTTAGATGATAGCATCACCAGGATACTCAGACCCTCTCACAGACAAGGCCCAGGAGTGATTCTGTTATGTCTTGATGACCTTAAGAGAAGGATGGAAAGAGAGGGAAAGAGGAATAGTCTAGGGGGAAAGGGAAAGGAAGGTTGGGGAAAATTATCTAACATAATCAGGAAACGTAAGTAGTTGTTGTTCAGTCATTTCAGTCTGACTCTTTGTGATCCCATTTGGGTTTTCTTGGCAGAGATACCAGAGTGGTTTGCCATTTCCTTCTCCAGCTCATTTTACAGATGAGGAAACGGAGGCAAACAAGATTAAATGACTTTCCCAGGATCACATAGCTTGTAAGTGTCTGAGGCCAGATTTGAACTCAGGAAGATGAGTCTTCCTTTCTCCAGGCCCAGTGCTATGTGCACTATGGCGCCACCTAGCTGCCCCTTGTATAAGTAGACTGCTATATAAACAAGGAGGAGGGGGTAAGGAGAACATCTGAATTGATCAAAGGGAGGAAGAATGCACACACACTCACACTCACACACACACACTCTCACACACACACACACAGATTTAAGTACAGAAATATATTTCACTCAAGATGGATAAGAAGGATAGGGGAGGGGGAATTAAAAGGAGAGTAGATTATAGAAGGAATTGGTCCTAAGCATATAGCTCTTTTTTAAGGTGGCAAAGAATGAGAATCTGAGGGAGTACCCATAAATTGGGGAGTGGGTAACAAGTTATGGTATATAAAGATGATGGAATACTGTGTGCTTTAAGAAATGATGGAGAGGAGTTCAGAGAAACCCAGGAAGATTTATATGAACTGTGCAGAGTGAAGCGAACAGAACCAGGAAAACCGTTTATAAAATGCAATAATATGTAAAGACAAACAACTTTGAATGAATTAGGAACTCTTATCAGTATAATATCCAACCATGATTCCATAGGGCTAATGATGAAACTTTCCAACCATCTCTACATAGAAAGGTGAAAGGACTCACAGTGCGGAATGAGATGTATTGTTTTTGGACATGACTAATGCAGAAATTTGTTTTGATTGACCATATTTATTTGTGATGGGTTTTGTTTTTCTTATGTTCTCAATTTGGAGATAGGGGACTGGGGTTGTAGGATGAGAAAGTGGGTTTTTGCTTATTGAAATCAAATTTTTAATTTTTGAAAGAAGTTTACATAGAGAAGGTTAGTACTAAGTCTTAGAGGAGACAGCATTGTTAATGGTACACAAGGGTAGATTCTCGAGATTATCAAAGGAGGGAGAGATACCAAAGGCATGAAATAATCAAGAAAATAATTTTTTTAAATGAGACAGCCAAAGGAACACCAATAACTATTTACTTATATACCTATCTTCCCATCTATGTAAAATTTTTATGAGAATACACACACATCAAGATCAACTTTGATAATGTTATTACAAGGGAACACAGTCATTCACAAGACATTCCATAGTAGATCACTTCCCAAAATTGAAAGATGAAAACAATATAAGATCCCCCTATGCTTACTGTTTACTCACTATAAAAAAAGCATTTGCTTCAGGAGAGCAAAACTTTGTCTTAAAGGTTCTTCCTTAACAAGATGTCTCACATGCAGATGTCAAAAATTAAATTAGATTCTTTGAAAGATAACTGTTCAGTAATCCAACTTAATGTCAGCATAAAGCAAAAAGATCCATGCTGGCCATGGACATAGAGGAGCTATTCATAGTGAAGAATTCAAGTTAAGGAGAGATTTCATCTGAAGTGAGGATTCTTGACTTTTTTGTGTCCTGGACCCTCTGTTTTGGCATTCAGTCCAGTAAAGCCTATGGACCCTTCTCAGAAGAATGTTTTTAAATGTATAAAGTAAAATACATGGGATTACAAAGCAAACCAGTTATGTTGAAATACAATTATCAAAATATGTTTGAAAAAACAACAACCAAATTCATTGACTCTAGGTTAAGAATTTCTGTTATAATTGGTGGACTCCTCCAGATGTTCCTATTTTATGCATCCTGATTTCTCCTTGAAACTTAGGCCCTTTATACTCATATTATACTCTGTTTTGTGCTGTTTTGTAACTGTATAACATAGAACACCCTTAGTTTTACACTAACTGAAAATAAATATTGCAATTAAGAAGGGCATGGCAGCCATGAGCAGGCTGAAATTCATCACAAACAAGGAATTGTAGAAAGGTAGAGTAAAATATGTTATATGGCAAGAGGGAAGGAAGACAGATGGATAGTTCTACATTCTATTGTTGACCTCATGATGTCAGGAGAATGCAAGGAAGGACCCCAGAACTTTTGGTAGGAGATAAACAAGATATAATAGGTAGGCTTATTTATATTAGGATCTGCATCGTTAGTGTGGGAAACATCCACAGTGATGAGATCACAGGTCCATTTGAATATTTGAGAATCCTCACAATACCCTTGGAAGAAGGTCATGCAAATATAATTATTCTTGTTTTATGGGTGAGACAACTGAGAAGAAAAGACAAATGACTTGTCCTTCAAACCCTGTGGTTCAGAGGGGATATATGTGTCAACATTTCCCCATATTTGAATTTAAGTGCTTTATCCTTGTTTAGTCCTTTATCATTGTTCACTCATATTTACTTTTTTAATGCTTTTCTCAGCTCCTGTGTTTGAACTTCAGTTTTGACACAGCTGTGATTTTTTAATCAGTAATGCTTGGAAGTCCTCTATTTCATTAAAGGTTCATTTTTTTCACCTTGTAGTATTATACTCAGTTTGGCTGGATAAGTTATTCTCGACTATGAGCCCATGTCTTTTGCCTTCTGAGGCTTTGCTTGTAGATGTTTTGCAGTCATTTTCTTCTTCTGTGTTTGTGTCTTACATGTCCCTGACACCATAATGGCTCTTTATGATGGTATTTTTTTGTTTGCTTATTCTTCGAGCCTAATTCTTGACTTTGGACTTGATTTCATGGTTGGACTCTGCTATGATTCTGGAGGGAAGAGCTGGACTGATCTTTTTGTTTCTTTCATGGGGTATTGAGTGTTGTGTTATTCCAGGATCTCAGGGCAGTCTAGGGATCTGACAACTTTTGTCACTGCCAAAGTGGTCTGATCCAGGTAAAATCTGATTGCTGCTTCAATGGACTGAGTTCTGCAAGTTTCCGAGTTGTGTTAGGGTCTGTGGAAGAATAGACTGCTGCTGGACTCCTCATCTATCAGCCAGCTGGAAAATTGTTGGTTCAGCATGACGGAATTATATATTCTCCTTTGGTTTAAGATTTTTTCACTTGTTATTTCTATGCAATCTGTGATGGAAGTTAGAACTGAGACCCTTCTCTGGGTGTGAGAAGTCTGAGCCATACCACTGCTTCTGTTTTCTTCTGAATTTCTTCCTTTCTTGGTACATGGCCCAGGGCCTCCTTACCTCTGAATGTCACTCCTCTGCACAGATCCCCTTCTTGTGAGCTGTCCTGGGTAGTGGGGGTTAAAACTGCTAGTAAGCTGCTGTCCGCATTGCAGTGCCCTGGTATGGCTTTAGTATGGGAATGGGACTTCCTAGGGTGGAATGCACTGTGCAATGTGCTCCTGACCTGACCCCATCCCCAGTGTCTGCAGACTTCTCTGTCTGTCTTGGTTTGCTCAATTGAGATGGAAGCATGAATCCCTGAAACTTTTTCTGACTTTCCCCATCAGGATTTGGTCTGGTGCAATTTGGAGAAGTTTTGTGGAGGGAAGCTTTGCAATATTGCTCTGCCATCTTGACTCTGCTCTCCCTTTCTGTATACATGATCTAGTCTGGTTGTTTTCACCCTTCTTTCTCCCTTCTGTGTCATTTCTACCCACTCTCTAAGCACATTCTATACAGTAAAGTTAGATTCCAAGTGTGGAGCCTCTACTTTCCTCAAAAGTAAAAAAAAACATTTGTTTAAAAATCTAGGAATTTTTTCTGTCTTTCCACCACCCTTCCCCTTCCAGCTTCATTCTTCAGTGTCCTCAGAATAGCTGCTTACTTGAGTTTCTTGCCAAGCTTTCTTTAAAGTGGTTTAAGCAAAACCTCTCCAATTTCTCTCTGTTTTGTGAAATAATACTGCTCATAATCTCCAACCATCCTTCTCTCTAAGGTATAACAAATGAGTATTGTATTCCAGATCTGTTGTGGCTTTGTCTGTCTTAGCTTTCCACCTGACAAGTAAAGAAAGTTTTTGCTGACTAAGGCATTTTTTAAGGCTCCTTTGGTCTTCTTGATATGACAGTTGATTTCAGTAGATTAAAGTTCTGTTTGAAATGATTGAAATTGGTGTTTGTATCCTATTCATATTCCATTTTTCAGCATCAGAAATTTATTTAAACAAATCGGGTTACAGTTGTCTCAATTTCTCCTTTTTATTCTTCTGGCTTTGTACTGATTTTTTTATCTTTGTCGTAATAAGTTGGAGGTATCATTGTTACAGACAGCTGATTTAGGACTAATTCTCACATTAACAATGAGTCATTTTCAGTAAGGTAAAAATAATAATCAGTTTTATTTTTATGATGATATTCTGTGTTAGGTTCAGCGTTTTTCAACTCTTCTTTTTTTCCCTACTAGGCAATGGGGTTAAGTGACTTGCCCAGGGTCATACAGCTAGTAAGTGTTAAGTGTCTGAGGCCAAATTTGAACTCTGGTCCTCCTGACTCCAGGGCCGGTGCTCTATCCACTGTGCCACCTAGCTGCCCCCTAATTCTTTTCTTAAGAGAGTATTCAGGATGTATAGGCATGAAGTTTCTGTTTTGTTTGTGAGTCTTTGGCCTTTGGAATAAGGTATTCCAATATTAACAAAAAAAAATT